GGCTGCCCGGGGCGAGGCGGGGCTGCCCGTGGCGGGGCGTGGCTGCCCGTGGCGGGGCGGGGCTGCCCGTGGCGGTGCGGGGCGGTGCTGCCCGGGGCGGGGCGGGCGAGGAGGGGCAGGGCTCCCCGTGGCGGGGCGGGGCTGCCCGCGGGGGGCGGTTGCCCGGGGCGGGGCGGGCGAGGAGGGGCGGGGCTCCCCGTGGCGGGGCGCGGCTGCCCGTGGCGGGGCGGGGCTGCCCGTGGCGGTGTGGGGCGGGGCTGCCCGTGGCGGTGTGGGGCGGGGCTGCCCGGGGCGGGGCGGGCGAGGAGGGGCTGCCCGGGGCGGGGCGGGGCTGCCGTGGCGGTGTGGGCGGTGCTGCCCGGGGCGGGGCGGGCGAGGAGGGGCGGGGCTCCCCGTGGCGGGGCGGGGCTGCCCGGGGAGGGGAGGGGTCAGCCCCAGGCGCCGCGAGACCGCATTTCCTCGCATAGCCGGCAGAGGGCAGGCGACCATCGTCTAGGACAGGGCCGCAAACCGGGGCCGGAAGAAGGCCATGGCGGGGGTCTGGGGGGCGGCGCCGCTACCCCTCGGTCCTGTAGCTGCCTGGGTGCCAGTGAGTGGCTGGCACTGCGCTGACGCCGTCCTGCATTTTCTGTCCCTCGTCTCCCAAATAAAGAGCACGTTCGCTTTGCGCACGAGGGGTGTATCTGTCTGGGCTGGAGTCTGGGTCCTCTGTGCAGCGGGTCTACCCATGGACTCGTGCCAACCGTGGGAGACGGGATTGGGGTCAGAGCCCGGCAGCAGGAGCCCCTGTGCCTCAGAGGGCAGGACAAGCCCGGGTGAGGGCTGGGGGGGGCTCCACCACACAGCCCAGCGTGTCCACGGACGGCATGTCCAGCCCACAGTCCGGCCATCTCGCTCCCCTCCCCGCGCCTCTCCCCGTGCCCCACCAGGGCCAGCTCCTCCATCCTTTCGCCAGGGTCCTGGGGCCTTGGGACATCCTTTGAGGCCACTGCATCTCCCCACCTTCTCCCCCTGCACCTGCAGGACCCCAGCCTCAACTCGCATACCCTTCTAGACGGGGCGCTCGCTCCGCCCAAAGCTCCTCCCACTGCTGGTGCACCAGCTGGGGTGAGTCTCCAGGTGGGCCCCACTGTCCCCAACATCCGAGCCCAGGACCCCCAGACTCAGCTGGGCAGATCTGCAGGGGTCCCTCCTGCACCCCCCCGCCCCCGGGCTGTGGCCCCCCCAGGGAGCATGTCGGTGGCGGTGCCGTCTCCAAGATCCAGGCCCACAGGGCTCTGGTCCCAGCCTGGAGGGGTGAGGGAGGTAACGGGTACAAGCCCCTCCACCCCAAACACCCACTTGGACAAAACCTGGGCAGCTCTGTGAGCTGGGTGGGGTCAGCAGGTGGAAGTTGCTGCTGGGGGTGCTGAGAGGAGAGTGGGGCTAAGACCTGTCTCCCCCACCTGCTGACACCTCCTGCAGAGGCCACTGCTGGAGAGGAAAAATACCTCCCAAGTGCCCTGCCGTTCTCGGTGGGGAGGGGACGGTGCTGACTGCAGGCATGGCCACCTGGTGGGCAGAGCCTGCAAGGAGAGAAATCTGGGTGAAGCTGTGAGCAGTCAGGGAGGGCTTCCTGGAGGAGGGGGGGGACGTGACTTCCACAGCATAGGCCAAGGCACAGGGTCTGGGAACAGGGCTGGAGGTGTCGGGGCTGGGTCCCTCGCCTCATCTGGAGCTCACTGAGGCCTCGCCCCTCAGGTCCCGGACACTCTCACCCTGGTGCCTGCCCAGGCAGCCCCTCTCCCTTGGCCCTGAGTCCTGTGGGAGGAAGAGGTGCATGTGGCAGGGCATGTCGGTGAGGGCACCCCTGGTGGGTGGATAGACTCAGGCAGTCCCTCCCTGCTTTCTGGTTTGGGGGGAGCTGTAGGCAGTGGCCAGGGCCTGGCCCATGCCAGTGACCCCTGGAGAGATGGTGCTGATCCCCATTTTGCAGATAGGACGCTGAGGCCCGGGAACACCTGGGCCCTGCCAGTGATTCACCCTGAAGCCTTGGCACAGCTGGGTCTTCCTGGCCTTTCTCCTGCGGCCCCGTGACCGCCGGGGAGCAGGCAGCCGCTCTGAAGTGGGAGGGCAGACCCTGGCCCTGCAAGGTGGGCCCAAAAGCTTCCAGGCCCTTCTCTCCAGCACAGCCTGTTCCAGAGAAAACATCCCGTCACCACGGCGACGACTGGGGCCCGGCTCTTATTCTTTGGGGTGCCATTACATTTCGCCCTGGGTCCTGTTGCCACTGGGTCCTGGCAGCCAGGAGCAGAGGAGAGGACCCAGCGTAAAGCCTCACCCGGGGGCAGCGGGCAACTCCTGTCCTGTGCACGAAGCTCCTCAAAGGCACCAGACGGGGCCTGGGGCAGTGACCAGCCAGGCAACAATGAGGAACGACCTGGAGCCAGTTAGATGCTGGTCCCTGGCACGGTGGGGTGGGGGGTGGCCTGGAGCTGGGCAGACACTGGTGAACTCAAAGACTCCTGAGGTGTCTTCACTCCCCGCTCCCTTGGACACCATGGCCAGGGAGGGGTGGGGTGTGGGTGGGCGTCGGTCTGCTGCAGGAGGGTTGGCCTGGCACTGCCCCATCCTGCGTCCGGGGCTATGGGCGGAACCCCGTGCCAGCCTCTGTGGGTGTGGGTGTGGGTGTGGGTGAGGTTCCCGCTGTGCCCGCTCCAGCCCCACCGGGAGCTGCCGGCTGTCATCCCCTCCGGATCGGCGGCTTCTCACGTGGACTCTCAGGAAGTGGCCATTCAGAGGCTTGGGAGATAATGGTCCCTCGGCGCCGGCCGACACTCAGGCTTCATTATCGCCCGTGCCCAGGCAGCGTTCCAGCCCTCAGGTCCTCATCAGGCTGAGGGCCCCCTCATCCCCTCCGGGAGGGGCTGGCGGAGAGAGAGCCAAGGGCGGGGGCACAGAGGAGGGGGTCTACAGGGAGTGCCAGGCAGCACCGAGCCAGCCACTGTTGTGAGCACGAGGTGGGTTTCAATGCCGTCAGGCCTCACACACACTTCACGGCTGGGGAAACGGAGCCCGGAGGCCCTGAACCCGCTGCGCTCCCATGCCAGGGCGGGGCGGATGCAGGGGAGGCTGATAGCTGCGGTGACGCAGGTGACGCCCCGGCTGAAGAGGGGCCGACACCCCCACCCTGTTTCCTGAGCCCCCACTCCGCCATGTGCAGACCAACCACCAGTCTAGTAGAATCCTGAACCCCATGGACCGAGTCCCCGCTGTTTGCTGGGTGCCCCCCAAACGCCTTACTTTAGAAAGATCGGCTACTCCTCTTGGGAGCATCCAGGAGCCCCCGTCTGCACCGCAGGTAGCTGAACTCTGGGGGGGTGAAGTTGGGGGTCTTGCCAAGGCCCCTTCCCCAGGGCCTGGCACCCCCGCCTGCCCCTCACTGGCACAGGCGCCCCTCAGCACGGGGAGGGGCAGCCCTCCTGGCCCCGCCTGGGTCACTGCTGGGTGTCCGTGGGGGCCGGCCCCAGGGCGCCCAGCAGTAGCGCTCCCCTGTCGCCACGGTGATGCAGTGGCTGTGTGTGGCCAGGGCTATTTCTGTCCAGGAGACACGCTGTCCTGCCCCACTGAGTCACCCTCCACGCTCCCCGCCCACCCCGCTCACGCCTGGCCTGCAGCTTCTGTGCCACAGAGGTTCGGGCATCCGTCCCACCAGCTGCCTGCCCAGGCGGACCCTCCCCAGGCCGGTCCCCTAGGGCCACCAAACCCCGGGGACCCGAAGGCAGTGTTCCGGGCTGTTCACCTACCCCTTGGCCTCCCTCCACCCTGCTCTGTGCTTGGGGAGGCTCTGGGACCTGCCCCACACATGGGGGACTGTCAGGAACACCCCTCTCTTTTTGGGGGCAGCTCTGCTGGCATTGGGGGCACTGAGGGGCACAGGAAGGGGACTTGGGTCCCCTGTGGTTGTGCCTTAGCAGCCCCCCACCCCGCCACAGGGGTGTTCTGGACACTTCTGAGCTCCAGGGAAGCCCATTTCACGGGCGAGGCTGAGGCTCAGACCCAGGGAGCAGTGGAGTGTGGGCGTCTGCCTGTCTTTCTCCACAAGCCCTGGGAGCCCCGGGGCTATGGGGGGTGGCCGCACGGGAGTCCCCACTCTGTCTCAGTGAGACACAAAATCTGCAGAGCTGTGTTCTCACTGCCCAGGTCAGAGCGGCTCAGAGCTGGCTGGGGCAGCTGCAGGCACCACAGTCCCAGGGCCCCCAGTCTTCACACCCCGTCTGTGCCTCCACAGCCAACAGGGTGAGGGTGGTTGTCCCCAGAGGGGCCTGCGGGGCTTGCTGGATGCTGCGGCCAAGGGTGAGCTGTCACCACCCAGGGCCAGCTGGAGTGGGGAGCCTGGAACCGGCTGCAGCTGGTGTGGCCCCTACCACAGCCCTCCCCAGCCCTGCTGCCTGCAGCCTGGCACGTGAAACCCCCACAGGTGGACCCCTTGGTCTCCCCTCACTCCGTGCTCCTCTCCTCTCACTCTTCGCATGGGGCGGGGAGGGGGCTGAGGGCCAGGCCTAGCTGAGGGGCTGGACGGAACACAGGACCCCAGGTGGCACATGAATCAGCCGAGGGGACTGAGCCAGCCCGGGGCCTCTCCCCGCCCCCAGCCTGCTTTTGGGCAAGGCCACCACCATTCTCTTGCCAGCCCAGTGCCTCCGACAACAGGGACAGGGCCTGTGGGAATGGCCGCCTGTCTGTGTCCAGAGGCCCAGGGTTGGAGCCGGGCTCCGTCCAGTCCGGCTTCCCTGCCAGTGGCATGAGGGCATGACTCTCATGCTGAGAACAGCAGGGCACTTGGGAGGTATTTTTCCTCTCCAGCAGTGGCCTCTGCAGGAGGCGTCAGCAGGTGGGGGAGAGAGGTCTGTTAGCCCCACGTGAAAGGTGCCCCACTCTCCTCTCCGCACCCAGGACTCTGCATCCCTGGGTGGTGCAGCATGGCGGCCTTGGCCTCCAGCGTCCTCGCCAACCCACCCAGACACAGCTTCCTCCTTGGGGCACTGCGTCCCAGGCAGGCAGCAGGCTGGGTTTCCCCATGGAGGAGAGCAGTGCCCACCACGCCATCCCCACCCCAGCCGGCCGAGACGCCAGGCCCCCAGCCCTGCTCATGGATGTGGGGCTGCCAGGAGGACCTGGGGGCCTCAAAGCCGGCTGCGCGGTGGACTCGAGGGCCCTGCCAGCATCCTGTCCGGAGCCCAGCGGCGCTGGCCCTTGGCCTGTTGGTCTTGGCCGGCCCAGAGGAAGCCACAGGCGCCCGGGCAGGCATGAAAGGGCTCTTTGACGCTGGGCTGCCGGGACAGGAACACAGACGGCCGGCCAGGCAGGGAGGACGCAGGGAGCGTCCCTGAGACGGTAACGGGAGCGCGGAGCCTGGGGGTGGTTGTGGGGGTCCTCACAGCCGCCCTGGGCAGGCCGGGCTGAACCCCAGAGGAGCAGGATCCAGCCCCGACCATCTGCCAGGTGGGGCCGGGTCTGGGATGCTGGAGAACTCCGTGGGCACTCCTGGAGGCCTCCGTGTGGGGCGAGTGCTGCGGACACGCCCACTCCTCCCTCCGCCGGAGGAGTCCAAGGGGGTCTTCTGGTGTCCAGTGGGGCCAGGGGTTGAGTCAGGGTATGCTGAGCTGGTGAGGAGGCAGGCAGAGGGGGGGTCTCAACCGCCAGAGGCATTCCACCCATCTGGAATGACCCACTGCAAGAGGAAGGACCTTGCCCTGCGCTGCAATCCCAAAGGGCTTCCTGAAGGAGGCAGCCTAAATCTTTGTCCAGCAGAGCCGGTGTTCAGAGAAGATGGAGGACCCCGACCCCAAGCACTTGCCCTCGCAGGAGATACTCCTGGCCAAGCCTCCAGATGTGGCTGTGAGGGGAGTGGGGTAGGCAAGTCCTACCTGCCAGAGAGGGAAACTGAGACCAGGCTTGTCCGGGCAGGTGCTGGTTGAGCCAGGAGGGGGTCTATCTTGCTCAGGAGGACCCAGGCTGGCTCTGGCTCCCCCTGGGCACCAAGGCTGGGGGCAGCCTCCCGAGGCCCCTGTAGGCCCTGTCCCGGGGCGTCCAGCTATAAGCTCGCTGGGTCCGGTGAGGCAGGCCTGGGTGTGACGGGGCCTCCTTGCACTGTGCAGGGCCCCTTGCACCAGGCCAGCTTTGGGGGCCTTTCCCTGGAGCAGTGCAGCTGTCTGTGCCCAGGGCTCTGCCCAGCCACAGCAGGTGGGGCCTTGGGTGGCCACTGCTCCTGACTGTGGAAGGTGGTCTCGGACACCCCTGTGCCCATGACAGCTTCCCCTCCACCTGCCGGGTGCAGGGACCCGGACTTTGGGGACCAGGATTCCCCGACTCCAGGTGTCTAGGGTGCCTGGTGCAGCCCAAAACCTCAGCCTCGGCCTCACCCGCTGGGCCAGGACCGGCCATGCCCAGGCAGGAGCTCCCGCCCCCACTGCTGTCTCCCTGATGGGGGCACGGCCGGGCAGCTGCAGGGTCTGGGGGGCTCCAGCTGGGATACCTCCGCCTCAGTTCCTCCCTTTCCCCTCTCCCCCAGCCCTGGCCAAGATGGCAGCTCCCGCCCTGCTGCTCCTGGCACTGCTGCTGCCTGCGGGGGCCTGGCCTGGGCTGCCCAGGAGGCCCTGTGTGAGCTGCTGCCGCCCAGCCTGGCCCCCTGGCCCCTACACCAGGGCGAGTGACAGGGACCCGTGGTGGGGGCTGCCCCGAGTGCGGCCCACCATAGACATCGAAATCCTCAAAGGTGAGGCCTGTGGGGGTGCTGCCTGCGTGGCTCCCCACCAGGGCCCAGCGACCCAGAGGCAGCGGGGCGGGGACCTGGGGCTCAGGAGGAGGAGCCGGGAGGGGCTCACTGAGCATGGGTCTCTGCCCTGGCCATGCTCCCTGCCCAGGGACCCCCCCAGTTCCCCCCTGAAGCAGGAAGAAGCCTGGCTTGGGGAGGGACACATGAGCCAAAGTGGGGTGCTGAGGACCCTGAGGAAGGAGGCCAGGGTCCCTGAGATCCCCAAAGTGGCAGCAACTTGGGAAGGGAGAGTGGGTGACCCTGCTGGCCTGAGACCCCGCAACAGAGGCTGAACTGTCCTGAGGGCTGGACAGCAGGCTGTGCTGAGGTTAGACTTGGGTAAGAACTTCCCAGCTTCTCATTCTTTATTTAACACCCAACCCAGACCCTCTTCTGAAACTGGCCCCGAGCACCCACATCCCCGCCCTCCCCGTGGGGACAGCCCCGCGGCAGGCCTTGGTCCAGCCGCACCTTTAGAGCATGGCTTCCCGCTGTGTGTGTGACGGCACCCATTGTGCAGATGGGGACGTGGAGGTTGGGAGAGGGATTGTGTCCTTACAGTGACCCTGGAGGCCCAGCCCCTGGCCTGGGTGCCAGGAATGAGGGCGGCCGCCCAGCCCGGCCCTGACCCGTGGCTTCCCCTTGTCTCCTGCAGGTGAGAAGGGCGAGGCCGGGGTCCGAGGGCGTCCCGGCAGGAGCGGGAAAGAGGGACCGCCGGGCTCCCGGGGCCCGCAGGGCCGCAAAGGCCAGAAGGGGCAGCTGGGGCCACCGGGCACCCCGTGCCAGCGTGCCTACGCGGCTTTCTCCGTGGGCCGGCGCGAGGGCCTGCACAGCTCCGACACCTTCCAGGCGGTGCCCTTCGACACGGAGCTGGTGAACCTGGACGGCGCCTTCGACCTGGCCGCGGGCCGCTTCCTCTGCGCGGTGCCCGGCGTCTACTTCCTCAGCCTCAACGTGCACACCTGGAACCACAAGGAGACCTACCTGCACGTCATGCGGAACCGGCGGCCCGAGGCGGTGCTGTACGCGCAGCCCAGCGAGCGCAGCCTCATGCAGGCCCAGAGCCTGCTGCTGCCGCTGGCCGCGGGCGACGCCGTCTGGGTGCGCATGTTCCAGCGCGACCAGGACAACGCCGTGTACGGCGAGCGCGGGGACCTCTACATCACCTTCAGCGGCCACCTGGTCAAGCCGGCCGCCGAGCTGTAGCCGGGAGAGCGCCCGCGGCTCAGCACGCGCCCGTGTGCGGCGGAGGCAGCAGAGCTTAAGCGCCGACTGTGTGCAGGGATGGAGTGGTTGTGTGCCGACTGTGTGCAGGGATTGCTTGAGTGCCGACTGTGTGCAGGGATTGCTTGAGTGCTGACTGTATACGGAGATTGAGTGGTTGAGCACTGACTGTATACAGGGATTGAGTGGTTGAGCACTGACTGTGTGCAGGGATTGCTTGAGTGCTGACTGTATACAGGGATTGAGTGGTTGAGCACTAACTGTGTGCAGAGATGGAGTGGTTGTGTGCCGACTGTGTGCAGGGATTGCTTGAGTGCTGACTGTATACAGGGATGGAGTGGTTGAGCGCCGACTGTGTGCAGTGATTCTTTGAGTGCCGAATGTGTGCAGAGATTAGTTGAGCACCCGCCAAGTGCAAGGATTGATTGAATGCTGACTGTGTGCAGGGATTGGTTGAGCGCCCACTGTGTGCAGGCACTGAGCCATGTGGAGCACTGGGTGTGGTGGGAGCAAGTCTGACCTGCACCTGCCCTCACAGGGGCTGGCACACAGGAAGGCACCACACGAAGCCGCATGGACAGAGGCCTGTGTGCTGGACGTGCGGTGGGTGGGGCCGGGTGCCTCCGCATGGGTTGGCTGGAGGCTGGTTGCTCACTCAGGTACTCGCCCTCACGGCTGAGGGGCCATTCTGCTTATAAAGCTGTGCCAGGCGTCCTGCTATGGAGACTTTCATTATTTGCCGAGCACCCGGCTGGTGTGGCTGGGCCCGGGAGGCTGAGAGGGCGGAAGGCAGACGGGACTCCAGGCGGCGTTGGGGACAGCCAGCACTCACGGTGGACGGGCGGGTGAGGCTGAACCACCCTCCAGGTGGAGGCTTGTCCTTGGCAGGAAACACACAGCTGAGTGCATGGGGGCTGGTTTTTGGGGCTCACGGGGTCCCCTAGTCTGTCTGAAGTGGGCAGGGGCTTGAACCCTGGTGAGCACCAGAGCCTGGGGAGCCTCCGCCCCCCATGGAGCCGCCTCATGCTTAGACAGGGCTGAAAGGTGGGTCCCCGTGGCCACGCCGTGGTGGTGAGGGCCCCATTTGGGAGTGTGGGTGGGTGGGGGTGGGTGGGTCCCTCCAGGCAAGAGGCTGGCCCAGATCCCGCCACTGGAAGCTTCTGCAACCCTCACCAGCTGGAGCAACTGCGGCCACTCCCAGGAGCTCTCCCAGCCACGTGCCTACGTGTCTCCAGAACCACCTGGACCAGGCCTGGCCTCCCGCCTCTTCCTTAGTCTGCTGTCTGTGGCAGCGTGGACCCTGGTCCTGGCTGAGCAGCATCCAGAGTCAACGGGGCTCAGCCACGCTGGCTGAAACCCTTGAAAGGCCCTCCATAAAGCCCCCCGGGTGGGGGCAGGAGAACCCCCCCAGATGCACCCAGAGTGGGCTTGCAGGGGACTGGTGGGCACCGAACAGAAGCAGGGCCCAAGGTGCCCCCACAGCCCCTCGGTCCTTGTCTACCCGGGGACGTCCTGAACCATGGAGTGCCCGGCTCATCCATCCCCCTTGACAGCCTGTCCTGCCCCCGCTCCCTCCCCACAGGGGCCCCCACCTGTCCAGACCAATCCCTGACCAGCTGGACCCACAGCCTGGCCCAGGAGGGTCTGGGAGGAGATAGCCCCGCACATCAGGGTGCACCCTGCGGGGTGGGGCCAGCCGAGGAGGGAGGGAGGCTGGCAGGGGCTGCAGGCCCCAGGCAGGGGGGGCTTGTCTGTCAGTCTGTATGCAGTGCCTGGGCTAGGAGGAAGCCGCCGGGAACAGCTGGGAACCGTGACCCTCCGGGTCACCATGGGCCCCAGCCTGAGGGCCTGCTCAGTCATCCCCATCAGCCACTGCTGGACCAGGCCCGGGGGTGACAGGCAGTGGGGGTTGGGCAGAGGAACCTGGGGAGGAGGGGGAAGGGTGGCAGAAATTGGGGGTCAGAGCCATCCCCCAACACGGCCGGCCCTTCCCTAGGGTGGGGCTGGGAGGCCCGGTGTTTTCCTGTGAAGGGTTAGGGTTAGGGTTAGGATTTGAGTTTTCTTGTGAAGACTACAGACTCCCAGCCCCAGCCTTGGGAAGGGCCATTCCTTCCTTACAGACAGACGTCCACCCGTGGGGACCCTGGGAGCCCCGGCTGGCTCCCCCGCCCCTCAACCTCACCTCACTTCTGCCCTTGGGAGGTGGTGCAGAACCCATGCACGTGTGCCAGGAACCACTCCCAGGCAGGCAGGGACCAAGCATGGCCCCCAATAGTACAGGACAGCAGGAGGGGCGGCCTGGGCGGGTACGGGGACCCCCACTTCCTGTGCACGTAGGGCCCTCTGCAGGGGGAGGGGCTCTCTCCCAGTCACCCACCCCTACCCACTGCCCAAGCCTGCCATCTCTCAGGTGCCATGGGCCTGCACCCACCTCTCTCCCAGAGGCTGTCGCTGGGCCAGGCTTCCCCGAAGCACCCCCAAGTGGCCCGTATCAAGTCCCACCTTGTGTGTCTGCAGGGGGCGGCTGCAGGTCTCCTGGGGGCTGGTGGTGGGGCTGGTGGACCCTGGACCTGCTAGAGACAGGAGGGGCACTGGAGTTGGGGGGGGACCCTCTGCCCTCCCCTCACCCCACACGAGGTGGGCGGGGCCTCAGGCTGCACTTTGGCCTCAGGCTGAGTCCCCTCCTGGCTGGGAGAACGGGACACACCCAGGGCACCCAGCAACCATCAGGGGTGGGCACCGTCTCTCGGTGCACAGAGGCTTCTGCCCTAGAGATAAAGGTGCCAGAACAGGAAGGGGCGGGCTGAGGGGAGGTGGGCAGACCCCAGGTCTCGAATCACGACTGGGACGCCCCCCAGACCTCCCCCATGTGCTGACGGCCAGCGGCACTGGTCCTGGCTGCAGCTGCAGGGCGTCCTCAGCACTCCAGAGAGCCCGCTGGCCCTGTGCTCACTCAGCCCCTTCTCAAGTGAGGATGCCCAGAGCCGGGCTGCAGCCACGTCCTGCCTACCCCACACAGAGCCCATGTCCCTGCCAGCTCTGCCTGTGGCCTCAGCTTCCCGTTCAGCAGGGGGGTGCAAAAGCCTCTGTTGGGGACCCCGGAGCAGCTGTGAGGGGCCCTGGGCTCGCAGGTTCAAAGCGGTGCTGGCCGGAGCCAGCCCTGGCATCCGTGCCCTGGAGGATGGTGGCACAGCACTGGTTGTTCTTGCTCGGGGGCATGTGATCCACAAGGTCTGTTGGGGTCGAGTGTGGCAGGTGAAGAACCAGAGGCGGAGGGTATGGGCTGCTGGGGGTGGGGGTCCCGGCTGGCCATGCAGAGGTTCTTGGCCCCGGTGAGAGAGCACGGCTGAGTGGGAGCCGGGTGTCCCGACCACCCCAGGGCCGGGAGGACATCGGCTCTTGCAGGCAGCCTGTCTGCACCGGGGAAGCCCCCAGAATCCCAGACAACAGTTTCCTTCCGTGGCCCTGACCTGGCTGCCCTGGGGTCTGCAGCCTCTGTGATTCCAGAGAGACTGTGCTGCTAGGGGGGCAGGTGGCCTGAAGAAGACAGTCCCGAGAAGACTCCTGCCCCTGCTCCAGGCTGCCCAGAAAGTGTCCGTCAGGCGCAGCCAAGGACCCCGACGTGACCACACCAGGCCCAAGGCCAGGAGCCCACTCTGAGGGCATGGCTGGGCCTCCCAGAACAGACATCACCATGGGCCATGGGCAATGGCAGGCGCGGATATCAATGCCTCCCGCAGGGGCCTAGCATGGGGGGTGCAAGGTCTCTGGCAGCCGGCAGTCGGGGGGCTGCTAACGAATGCCAGTGGAGACCCATATTCTCAGAGAGCCGGGTGGGGAGATGCCCGCGAGAGCTTCAGACGGCAGAACCTGCATCTCCGCAACCGTCCAGCTTATTTCTTTATAAAACGACACAGAACTGAAGTGAGACAAGATCAGGTCAGGATTCTCTGCCAAGTGATAAAAGCCAGAGGGACGCTGCCAGTACCGGGCGGGAGCAATAAGAGGGATGCTTGGTAGAGGCCAGAGACACGAAAAGCAGCAACAGCCTCGTGCTGCCCGGGCCACGTGGAGGATAGGAGGGAGCCAGCCCATGGAGCCCCCGTGGCTGCCTGCACCGGCTTCCATCGTGAGTCAGCTGCACAGGAAGGACCTGGGGGACATGGCTTCCCGAGAGGACACCGCTGTGACATTCTGGGCCAGCGTCTGGCTGGGGAGGCGACTTAGCCGATGTGAGTTTATCCATTTAGTGGAATTCCAGTAAAAGTCCAATTGTAAATATTCGGTGAAACTCATGTAACGTAGAATTTAGCACTGGAGAGCGAACAGTCCCCAGCGTGACACATTCCCGGCGCTCCGCAGCCACCACCTCCGTCTAGCTCCAGCCCCCAAAAGGAATGTGCACCCTCAGCAGTCGCTCCCCTCTCCTGTCCACCTCCTGGCAGCGCTGTTCCTCTCTGGGTCTGCGAACTCCTGTGTTCCGGGCGTTTCATGGAAACGGAATCACACAGACTCTTCGGTGGGCTGGACGGACCCCAATTCTTTATCCACTGTCTGTTGATGGACACCTGGGTCATGGCTACCTTTTGGCCATTATGGATTATAGATAATGCTATTATGAACATTTCTATAAAAATCCTTTTTTTTTTTTTTTTTTTGAGACGGGGTCTTGCCCCGTTGCCCAGGCTGATGTGCTGTGATAAAATCACTCACTGCGGGCTTGAACTCCCAGCTCGAGCCATCCTCCCACCTCAGCCTCTCGAGTACCTGGGAATACAGGTGCATGCCACCATGCTCAACCAATCTTTAAATTTTATTTTGTAGAGATGGGGTTTCACCATGTTGCCCAGGCTGGTCTTGAATCCCTGCACTCAAGCGATCCTCCACCTTCGGCCTCCCAAAGTGCTGGGATTGTAGGCATGAGCCACCATGCCTGGCCCAATTCCACTATTTAAATTTTGTAAAAGCAGTGTTGGAGGGAATCTGGAAGAATGGATTCTAAAGAATTTCAACTCAGCTCAGCGCTGGGCAGAGACTCGCCCTATTAGATACCATGACACAATGCCCACACAGCAGAGACAGAGCTGCCAGAGCCCCTCGCCCCTAGAGAAGAAGAGGCCACCCCATATACCAGCAAGGCAGAGGCAGTGACAAGGAAGGCATATTTTTCCTTTAAAATTCATGTCAGGTGATAAGACAAATTTCGGTTGAATGAAAGAATTTTCAGCCATATAATCATGAGAAACATGTGGGACCAGCTGGGCACGGTGGCTCAGGCCTGTAATCCCAGCACATTGTGAGGCCAGGGTGGGCGGATCACCTGAGGTCAGGAGTTCAAGACCAGCCTGGCCAACATGGTTAAACCCCTTCTCTACTAAAAATACAAAATTAGCCGAGTGTGGTGGCGGGCGCCTGTAATCCCAGCTACTTGGGAGGCTGAGGCAGGAGAATGGCTTGAATTGCTTGAACCCAGGAGGCAGAGATGGCAGTGAGCCGAGATTGCACCACTGCACTCCAGCCTGGGTGACAGAGTGCCACACACACACACGCACACACACACACACAAAACCACCAGCAGCAGCAACAAAAAGCATGTGGCATGTGCACCACCCTCACAGCACCACTCACTGTAGCAAGAAGGGAGGTGCTGTGGTCTGAACGTGCCCCGTGGATTCTTGTGCTGATGCGGATGGTCACTGTGACGGCATCCAGAGGCAGCGGGAGTGCACTCAGACGGTGGACACAGCCCAGGGTCTGCTGATGATGCATGGAAAACCGAATGTGGTCCCTCCATACCAGGGGGACAGTGCTCAGCCTCAAACAGGAAGGAAACGTGGCACTTGCTACGTGGATGAGCTGCAACGGCAGCGCCGGGTAAAGGGAACCGGTCACACAAGGACAAATGCTGCCTGATTCCACTTGCGAGAGGTACCTAGAGGACTCGGATTCATCCAGGCAAGGTAGAAGGGTGGGTGCTGGGGCTGGGGGTTCCCTCCGACCGAGGAAACGTGGGCGGGGAGTGGGGAACCACAGAGGGCCTGTGAGCAGCAGACACGAGTGGATTTCTGTTGGGGATAAAATGGGGTTGGAAGTGGAGGTCGGGTGTGAGTTGAGGAGGGAGACGTAGCCAGAGGTGGGGCTGCTGTGGCCGGGCTGGGATGGGGATAGAGGAGAAAGAACCCCAGAGATGGACGCCACCTAACAGCCTGCCAGGGGCCCAGGGCAGCTCCTGCCCCCTACAGAAGTGCAGAGCCCGACGTGGGCTCCAGGCCTCCAAGGGGCAGTGTGGCCAGCACCAGCCTCTGCTGCACCCATGGGGGTTTTCCGTGCTGCCAAGACCTGGCCTTGGATGGGCAGAGGGGCCTGTCCTAGGGGCAGCCTTCCCCCAGCCTGGCTCCCCGAGACCCCACAGCTGGCCCCACACCCCCACCCCACCCATGCTTTGGGGTCTCGTCCAGTGGGAGGAAACAGCATTCTGAGGGCCCTGGGCTGGTGGCTGCTTGTGGGGGCCCCATGGCTGCCGGTCATCTCTGTGCCCTTCTCTCCCCAGGAGGCCTTCCGGGTCCCTCTGAAGACCCCCACATCCCGCCTGGGCACCCCTGCTGATGGGGCGGGGCTGGGACTTGTTTCCTGAGCAAAGTCACTTGAGTTGCTGGAGCCCAGAGCCAATAAAACCCACTGATGCGTGCGGGAAACCCATGGGAGCCACCCCGCCCAGGATGTTTGCTCCCACCATGCCCCCCACTAGACTCTCACGTGGCCTGCAAGGGGTCTTGGCTCTGCAGCCCCTGAAGAAGTTCCGGACACCCACAGACCCTCACTTCCCCGAGGGGTGAGGATTCAGGGTCCAGGGCCCGAGCTCCTCCCACACACACCCCTGACCCCTCCAGGCCTATCATGCTGCTGCCCTGGGGGTATCTGGGCCTTGACCCCTTCCCCGTGGCCCCTTCCCTGTGGCTCTGCTATCCACACCTGCCCAGCGTGGTCCTGGAACATCCTCAGCCTCCTCAGCCCACCGAGGCCATCAGACCCCGGGGTCTTGTTCTCCCATGTGCCCCAAGCAGGAGCCAGCTGGGTGCCACTGCCCCTTCTCCAGGCCTAGCCAGGGGCTGCCTCTACCTTGTGAACACCCCTGGGGCCCCGCCCAGGGCCAGGCCACTGCGTGTTCTCCTGGACGCCTCACAGCCTCCTCACACCCCCTGCATCTGCCTCCTCCCGCCTCCGGTCCAGTCTCCACTCTCCAGCTGCAGTGAGTGTGGCTTCACCTTCCTTGGGGCAGCGTGGGTCAGAACGTGGGGGGACCTGCATTTGCTCCTTTCTCTGACTTGACCCCCACAGCTCACCCCCTGTGCCCTGTTGCTTCTGAGCCCTCACAGAGGCTGTTCCTTCAGCCTGGAATGCTCCTCCAGCTCAATCTTGATCCCACGACCCAGCCCCACGCTGGCGTGTGGCAGGTGCGTTTGTCCAACGAGGACATGTGTTCAGCCAGCACAAGGGCCCAAGGGCAGGAAGTCCCAGGCCCAGCTGTGGGGCCGCCATGGCCAGCCCACTGCCTGCAGAGAGTCAGCATGGGAGGGTCCTGGGTACTCGGGAGGAGGAGGCCGGGCACGGCAGGTTTGCTTTGTGAAGAGGGTGTGCGCCTGGCGGGGGCAAGGCTTTGACCGAAGGCACAGACGGGGTTTGCATGTGGCTGGGACCAGACTGGGGAGGCCAGCGGGGCCGTGAAGCTGGGGCCTGGGACTGACAGGAACCGGGGTCCCAGGGGCTTTAGGATGCTCGAGGCGGGGAGCAGGGTACCTGAGGCTTGCAGCTGGGCCAAATGGGGTGGGGCTCGAGGTGGGGCCAGAGAGCGAGGGCGCTGGCGCCTCTGTTCGCCCCACATGGCTGCCAGCCCCTCGGGGAGAGGGCAGTGTCAAATCAATTGGAGAAATTGATCTCAGCAGGGATTTCCGAGCCATCTGCTAGGTCCCCAGAGCCTTCCAAGCAGATGAACATGTCACCCAAATCCCCAGGGAGGCAGGTGAGGGGGTGCTGTGGTGTGAACGAACCTCAGTTTCCCCCAGGGCACCCTGGATCCACCCCTCCTTGGTCACTCAGAGGCAGAGCCTTGTGGACCCGCTGGAGAAGCCCCCTAACTCCCCCTATAGCTATTGAGAAGCCTGGGCAGCCCGCTCAGGGGCGGCTGTGAGAGGCAGCTCCAGCCTCAGACCTCAGGCAGTGTCTGTCATTTTTCACCCTGTCCATGAATTCCACGTTTCCCGGCTTCCTGCTGGGCATTCAGCCGCCCCCCTCCTGGCCCTGTCTGGCTCAGCAGAGCTGGGGTGGGGGGTCTCGCCCTGTGTTGGGCCTCAGGGGAGCCTGGGCTCCACTCACTCTGGTCTGTGCTGGCTGCACTCAGCTCCAGAGACAATATTTGCTCGGGGAAAGAATCAAACATTTATCCTTGAGTTTATACAGGGGAGCAATTGTCAAACACACGTGTCCTCATCGCTCGGACGTTTCCCAGGCCTGACCTCGGTCTGGGCCTTTCCCCTGCCTAGCTCTGTACCCACTCAGCCCACTCCTTGCACCCTCCCGGGAGGACGGGGACCTGCTCTGAGCAACGGGAGCACGGGTCAGGGCCAGTGCTGGGCAGGGCAGAGGGGTCTCTGGTCCTGCTCCTTCCAGCCTCAGAGTGAGGCTCTGGGTCCAGGGTGCCAGGAGAAGCTGGCGTTTGGGGTGGGAGAGGTGGGACAATTCTAGGTGGGGTTCAGCAGGATTCCCAGGACCTGGCATTCCCATCACCCATGCGACCACTGCCTCCCAGCAGTGCTGTCTCCCCACTGCTGCCTGAATGACTGTCCGCTGCTCTTGTTCCCTCTCCCAGGCCCGGAGCCCCTGCCCCAAAGCAGAAGAGACAGCCGTAGGTTCCCCATCCTTTCCAGTCCCTGACCCTCAGGTCCTCCTCCATCAGGAGCCCTTCCTCCAGAGCCCCCAGGCACACCCCGTTCCCGGCCCTCCAGACAGAGCCAGTCAGCGTAGCACAGACGCCTGAGCCCCAGAAGCCAGGAGGGCAGGAGCCTCCACCCCAACCTCAGCCCCTGGCTCTCCTCTGCGCCAGCTGCCTCCACACCTCTCCCACAGGGAGCCCCCTGCTTCCCTCTCTGGGACAGCGTCCCATGGAGGGTGGCGGGCAGCAGGGTGGGGCCCCAGGGCAGGCGTGACCCTGGCTGACCGAGGGCTGCCCAGTCACACTCCCTCACACCTGTGTCCAGATTCCACACAATGTGGGGAAGGGCTGGGCTGGGGCCCTGGGCAGGGACTCCAGGGGACCTGATCAAGCCCTTTCAGGTGTCTTTAATTTATGAGAGCAGCAGGTGGCTCAGAGCTGACCCAAGGCACATGCAGCTGGGGGGCCGGGCAGAGCAGGCCCCTGCCATCAGGAAGACCCTCTCATCTGGCTGGCCTTTTGGAAACGTTGCTCCCCGGCAGGGAGGCTGGCACAGGCTGGGGCAGGATGGAGGGTGAGGGGCCCCTGAGGACTTACAAGAGCCCCTCACCAGCCTGGGTACCTCCCCCACCTCCCAGGAGCCCCCACACAGGAAACAGGCGGGAGAGGGTGATCTGTCACTATGGGGTGCCTTCTGCCCTGTGTCCACCCCAGCCTGGCCTCGGCAGTTCCAGCCTCGCCCCACCGCCGCCGCAGGGAAGCATCCTGACTGACAGGCAGGTGAGGGATCGGGGGCACTGCAGTGCAACCCCTGTCCCTGGGGGTGACAGGGGCCGCCCGTCCCCTGCCCTCGGCGCCCCTCACAGCTGGCTGGTCTGCATGAGCCCGTTGACCTCGGCGCCATGCGTGGGCGGCGTGGCCTCCTGCTGCTGCCGGCTCCTGTCTGGCCGCGGCTCCGTGGCGTCAGCGTCCTTGGCGCCGGAGCCCTGGCAGAGGCACAGAACCTTCCGGAAGCTCTGGCGGAAGTTGTCGGAGAGGAAGCCGTAGAGGACCGGGTTGGCACAGCTGTTGGCGTAGGAGAGGACGACCACGAAGAAGTAGAGGCCGGTGGAGGCGGGCTCCTGGGGCAGCGCCACCGCCAGGTTGACGATGTTGACCGTGAAGAAGGGCAGCCAGCAGCCCACGAACACCAGCACCAGCACCACCACCATGCGCGTCACCTTGCGCTCCGAGCGCCGCCGCGCGCAGCCCACGCGCAAGCCCGCGGTCCTCACCTTCACCACGATGAGCAGGTAGCACAGGCAGATGACCAGCAGCGGCCCGAAGAAGCCCAGCACGGCCGCGTAGACCACGAACACGGCACTCCACAGCGCCACCGGCTCCGGCCAGCTCACGTTACAGGTGCCGCCGTCCTGCACGTCCGCGAAGACCAGGACGGGCAGCGACATGCACAGCGACAGGGCCCAGGCCGCGGCGCTGGCCATCTTGGCCACGCGCGGGCGGCGCCAGCGGGCGGAGCTCAGCGGGTGCACCACGGCCAGGTAGCGGTCCACGCTCATGACTGTCAGGCAGAAGACGCTGGTGAACTGGTTGATGCCATCCAGCGTCATGACCAGCCGGCACAGGACGCGGCCGAAGGGCCAGAAGGACGCGGCGTTCTGCGTGGCCAGGAAGGGCAGCCCCAGCATGAGGAGGACGTCGGCCACCGCCAGGTTGAGGATGTAGATGTTGGTGACCGTCTTCGTCCTGGTGCAGCACAGCACCACGTAGATGACCAGCGCGTTTCCGCCCAGCCCGACCGCGCACACCAGCAGGTACAGCACAAGCACCAGCACCGCCCGGGCCCCCGGCGACGGCGCCGGCCCCACCAAGGACCTGTTACCCGAGGAGGAGGCGTTCCAGCCCGGCACGGACGCCGGGAAGAGGGGCTCCATTGCGGCAGCCCGAGGGCGCGTCGGCTCTGCAAGAGAAGAGGGGAGGACGCCGGGGCGGTGAGGCTGTGAGTGGGCACGTCCAGGTATTCCTCCTCCCTGCCCGGTCAGGCCCCACCTGCCGGGAGGCTGGGATCACCGAGTAAACACGATTAGTCATGTTCAGCTTGGCCAGGAATCACATTAAGCAAATTGTTTGGAAAACAAGCCAGGAGAGGAAGGAGCGGCGGGCAGGTGGCCCCGGGAGCCCAGGCCGGCCGGCCGCTGTCAATACCATGACGGCTGCCCGGTGGTGCCTGGCCTGGCTGTGGCATCATGAGGCCAGCACCTGCATCTCCCCAGAGCCCCTCAGAGCCTGCCCTGCGGTGCTGCTGTCTGCGTCTCCCAAGGGGAGACCTGGTGGGCAGCACCTCCCAGGGTGCACAGGGAGAGGCGGCAGCGGAGAGAGATGAGGCCGGTGGTTGGCCCCCCGCCCTGCCCAGGATGCACGACTGGAGAATCCGCTGGACAGCGTGTCACTGCCGCAGCCTCGAGGGACTCTCGCCGGGCTGCACCTGCCCCTTGGACCCTGCACCTCTCGCCAGACCATTGCGGGGACCTGTTCCCCCCATGGCAATGACAGACATCTACAAACCCAGGCAGGGGCACAGCACAGGGGCTGGGCAGACACCGCCCCTCCCCACGGGGCGGCTGCAGAGAAGCAAACACACAAACCGCACAGAGCAGCCACATGGAGCCCAGGGGTCGCACAGGGCGAAGGACGAGGAACTGTGGGGTGGGCAGCTACTTGTCCTGCAGCCCGAGGGAGAAGCTGCAGTGTGGGGCACCGGCAGGTCACAGGCACCGGGGTGGGGGCTCCAGCTGCCTGACACTGCCTGTCCCATAGGAGCTCGGAGCCCCCTCCTAGGACCTGGAACCCCCCACAATGGCCCAGAGAGAGAAAAGGGGAGACATGGGGGAGGGTGGGCTGAGAATAGTAACATCTGTGGGTTCAAGGCTCGTATATTGTTTCTGTGTTTTTCTGTGTGTTTGAAATCAGTTGTAAAAACGATTCTCTGGCCAGGCGTGGTGGCTCACGCCTGTCATCCCAGTGCTGTGGGAGGCTGAGACGGGGGGATCGCCTGAGGTCAGGAGTTGGAGACCAGCCTGGGCAACATGGTGAGACCCCATCTCTACAAAAAATACAAATATTAGCCAGGTGTGGTGGCGGGCGCCTGTAGTCCCAGCTACTCAGGAGGCTGAGTAGGGAGGACCATTTGAGCCCAGGAGGTCGAGGCTGCAGAGAGCTGTGACTGCACCACTGTGCTCCAGGCTGGGTCACAGAGCAAGACCCTGTCTCAAAAAGAACATCAGGCCAGATGCGGTGGCTCACACCTGTAATCCCAGCACTCTGGGAGGCCAAGGCTGGAGGATCACCTGAGGTCAGGAGTTCAAGTCCAGCCTGGCCAACATAGTGAAACCCCATCACTACAAAAAATGCAAAATTAGCTGGGTGGGTGTGGTGCGTGCCTGTAGTCCCAGCGACTTGGGAGGCTGAGGCAGGAGAATCGCTTGAACCCAGGAGGTGGAGGTTGCGGTGAGCTGAGATCAGGCCAGTCCAGTCCAGCCTGGGCAACAGAGTGAGACTCCGTCTCAAAAATAAATGAATAAATAAAAAGACCAGTGCCTCCCCTGACAAGTGGGGTGGAGGAAGGTCAGACGTTCGGGTTGACCCTGGGACTCTGTGACTCTGGGGGTGGCCAGCAGAGAATCAAAGCGCCCCTCAGGATCCAGACCAGGGACAGGTCCCTCCCTGGGGGGACCCTGGCCTGAGTGGGGGTGGAACTGGCCGTAGTGACCCCAGCATGTGCTGTCTGGAGCCCTGGGCCTGCTCAGCTGACCAGCTGTGACCCCTGAGGCACCTCAGAGCACAGGACGCCCCCAGCAGCTACCAGGGAAGGCCACAGTCCTGGCAGGGGGCTGCGGGGTTGGGCCGAGGCCACTGACATCTGGTAGACAAGGAAAGGAGAGCCGGGGCGGGGGGGGTGCAGAACACAAGGCTGACAGCCCCGAAGAGGAAGCCGTGTGTCCCCAGCAAGCCCAGAAACCAGCGTTCCCAGGTGCACGTGGCCCAAACACGCTGAGAAATACAACTCAAAATGAACAGGGCCGTGCAGCCGTGGATTCATCTCAGGGGAAATAAAAATAACCAGCTCACGAACGCTTAGATTGTTTAAACACGTGGAGGATCCACAGAGAAGGCACGGAAAAATGCTGGGGAATAAATTTGGCTTCTGTCTAAGAAGTAAAATGAACAGGCACCTATTTTTAAAAATCACACATCTTGGATGTAAAAAAAATACAATCATTTGTGGGGGAAAAGAACTACAGAAGTGGTCAGAACCAGCTCCAGTCTGCACAGCGCGGAAGAGAGAATCGGTGACTGGAAGAGGGTTGACGGATGGGTGGGAACAGGGCGCCAGCAGAAGGTCAGGAGAGGGCTGTGTGGGGTCCCAGGGGGAGAGCGTGCCTGGGCTCCGCCAGAACTGGTGACAGGGTCCCGTCTGGGAGCCCCTGTCCTGTGCGGCGTAAAGGAATGAAAGAGCATCCCCATCAAGCTATGGCATCCGGGGCAAAGAGAGGCAGCCAGGGAGACAGGACGGAAACACCCGGGCAGGACCTGGACAGCTGCGGCAGTGGCCTCCATACAAACCCTGGGGGTGGGAGAAGCAGAAGCAGGGGGTGGGGAGGGAGAGAAAAAGGGTGGGGGCAGACAGAGAGAGAGGGCGCTGTCACCCTAGAACCCCTACCCAGTAGAGCGCTGCCCAGCCAGGAGGGAAGAGACATTTCCGTTTTTGCTGGAGCTGCTGCCTAAGGAGCTCCTGGGCTGGGGTCGGGCTGGAGCCTCCAGCCGCATCTGCTCCTGGCAGGGAACAAGGCCTCTCCTAGGAGGACTCAGACAGGGGCCTCCAGGAAGTGAGTTCCCACGGCAGCAGTGGACCAGCGATTCTCCACTCCCCAGGGGCCGGCACAGAAATCCAACGCATCATTTACGGCTCCCCCCGGCTGCCTGTGGGGCGTGCATTCCGGAAGGACTGTGGTCTGCAGACAGCCCGTGGGCTGCATGGGAGTCCGGGTGGACGGGACAGCGTCCTGGCTGCTGAGGCCTCTGAGCTTCAGCCCTCCCTGGGGAGGCGCTTTCGGCCCACTCCTCGGTACCAAGGAGGCCAGGTGGAGGAGCCATGGATGGTGGGGCAGGGAGAGGGAGACTGTGGGGTTCCGGTCCATCTCCAGAACAGGCCCTGGGTCCCCAGCACCTCTGGTTCCTGAGTGCTTGAGTTTTTGCTTTTGAGATGGGGTCTCGCTCTGTTGCCCAGGCTGGAGTGCAGTGATGCGATCACAGCTCACTGCAGCCTCCACCTCCTGTGCTCAGGTGATCCTCCTGTGCTCAGGTGATCCTCCTGCCTCAGCCTCCCAAGCAGCTAAAACCAAATTCCCGTGTTTGTAGCTTCAGAGCTTCAGAGGAGCTACTCAGGGCTCCTCTGCCGCCACTCCCATGCCCAGAGCCCAGCGAGAGGCTCCACGGGTTCCCAGGTCCCAGCTCTGCGGCCGCCAGGGCTCCAACCCCAGAGGTAGACTTCAGAGCAGCCAAGAACAAAAATAGGCCGTTACTGCTGTACCTAACTCTTGGAACATAATTCCGCAGGAGCCATTATTTGGAAGCAGTCATCTTCTGAGTCATAAAATTACACACTCACAGGGAAATTGTCCCCATGGCCCTGTGCCTTGTGGGTGGGGGGATTCACTGGAGGCGGTCAGCACGGGGGACTTCAGATCTCCAGCCCTCAACCGGGAAGGGACCTGCTCAGCCAGCGGTAGCTTGACGGCACTGGGAGCAGATCCCGGCCCCGCCCCACCACCCCACACGGGCCTCCTGGTCCTGGGTCAGTCCTAGGCTTCTCCGAGCCCAGCTGCTGGCAGAGGCCACTCCTTCAAACCAGAGCAGATGAAACCGAGCGAGCTTCTGTGTGCAAGGCGCTGGGTGCTGTGTCGGCATACACGGGGCGCTCAGCGATTGCCCCCACAGCTGCCCTCAGCAGCCCAGCCTCTCCCCAGCATCCAGAAAGCCATGGGGCTCCCCAGAGAAGCACAGCACCCACGGTTCCTGATTGCCTGATTTTTTGTTTTTGAGATGGGGTCTCGCTCTGCTGCCCAGGCTAGAATGCGGTGGTGGGATCAGAGCTCACTGCAGCCTCGACCTCCTGTGCTCAGGAGATCCTCCTGTCTCAGCCTCCCAAGCAGCTAAAACCAAACTCCTGTCATTGTAGCTTGAACCACGTGGCTAGACCTGTGCCCTGCCAACCCCTTCCAGGTTAGCCCAGCACGAGGTCGGGGAGCCGGGTCCTTCACAGGGGCAGTGACGCAGCTGCAGCTTGGAGGGGCTGCATATACATGTTCCCTACACACACGCCATCTGTCCCTATGTCAGGCAGCCTGTGGTCAGGGCACACGCCCTCCCCAAGAGGGGGAAACTGAGGCAGGTGGGGGCCAGCCTGAAGCAGTAGCAGCAGCAGGGGGCCAGGCCGGCACTACCCCTCCTCTGCGCTCTGCGAATGCTTCCTAGGCCACCCTCCACTCCCAGGGCTCCTCCTGGAAGCCCCGCCCGGTCTCGCCCTGGAAATCCAAGCTAGGCCCCTGTCCTTGGTACTATTGACCAGTTTCCACCCCCAGGCTCTGGCAGTCCCCACCCACATCCCCGGATCGCTGCCTTCAGAAAGGGCTCAGCCCGGCTGGAACCGTCCCAAACTCCCCTCTCACCTCGAGGGGGTCCCAGCAGGCTGGCAGGCCGGGGAGAGCGGGCGGGCAGGTGGGCAGGCCTGGGGTCCGGAAGGAGCGCCCAGGGCACACACCCCAGGGGCGTGTTCTCTATTCTGGGGAGGGCGGAGACGCCTGGAGGGGTCCGGACACACGCGGTGCCTTGTACAGGAGGCGGCTCTGTTCCGGCGGGCAGGGGTGACACCCCAGCCTCCCAGTGCTGGGTCCCAGGGAACCCATCTGTGGGTGCCAGCTCCCAGGACTCCAGTGCTGGCCTCTCTGCCTGCTGCCTTCCAGGAGCTCACCGCCCCGGCGGGGCGCAGCCAGGAGATGGCAGGGATGGAGAGTCTGGGAGCGGAGGGACCCCCGGCGGCGGCAGGAGAGCCCCGCGGGTGTGCAGAGGGCGCGTGGGGGGACAGCGAGCGCAGCAGGCGGGGGCGCAGGGCGGGACCCCGGGCCGGGGCTGCGCACACGAGGTGGGCGCCCCAGCGGGGATATCAGAGCTGCGCGGGACCCCGTGCTGCCGAGGGCAGGGGTCGCCCGCGCAGGAGGGGGACGGGGCGAGCGGCACTCACCTGGGTGGAGGCGCCCTCTGGCTGGAGAGCCCCGGCGTCCGCGCTCGGAGCTGGCTCTGGGCTCTCGGGGCGGGCGCCGGCTGGGAGTGGGCGGGGCAGGGCGGGGCCACTGTCTGGTGGGGGCGGGGAGGGGCGGGGCCAGTGTCTGGTGGGGGCGGGGAGGGGCGGGGCCAGTGTCTAATGGGGCGGGGCCGGTGTCGGGTGGGGGCGGGGCGGGGCGGGGCCAGTGTCTGATGGGGCGGGGCCGGTGTCGGGTGGGCGCGGGCGGGGCGGGGCCAGTGTCGGGTGGGGGCGGGGCGGGCCGGGGCGCTTCATCTGCGGGGCTCCCAAGTCGGGGCTCCCACATCGAGGCTCCCCGTAACCCTTGCGCGCTTGCCCACATTCCTGGTCCCACTGGCAGTGACCCCATGATCGCCTGCGCCCCCGCCCCATTTTCGTGCTGTCCGCTCTGCAGCAGACCCCAGCTTGGGGTGCGGGTCCCTCCTCCAAAGTCTGAAGAGGGTGGAGGGGTCCTTGTTTAAAGGGAGAGAGGCAGGGGCTCCGCAGGCCTCTCCGGAGGTGGGCTGTGGTCGTGGAGAGAAGGGGTGCGGGGAGGACCGCAGGCAGCCCCGCTGTGACGTGGTCGTGGTCCGGGATTTTCAGGACGCTCCATTCGGGGTTTCCAGGCCTTCTTTGCGGATCCTACACGAATTTAAATGCGGCCGAAACGTACCTGCTGAGCGGTTATTTCTATTTCCCCTGAAATAAATCCATGGGTCCACCTCAGTCCCTCACCTAAGGCGGGGTTCTGAAGTCACCTGGGGCCTCCGCGCAGATTCCCAGGCCTCGCTCGGGTGGGTCCCCAAGTCCGCAGGTCACAGAGCCTGGGAATCTGCACTCCTGACAAGATCCCGCGTGCTGATGGCAAGTCTGTGGGGTCCACCCTGAGCACCCGCTGGGCATGAAGCCTGGGGGTCACCGGACACTTCCCCACCAGGAGGCCCCCCAACCCCCTCCCCTGCCCCTGCCCCTGCCCAGACTCAGGGAGCCCTGTCACTGGCTGAATGAAGTGAGGTGCCCCCAGGTGACAGCAGAACCCTGAAGGCCCTGGGCCCCTCGTCGAAGGGACATGGGAGCAGCCACGTGCCGTCTGTCCACAGATGGGTAGGCTCATGCTGGCTCGGCTCTGTTGAAAGCTCCAGCGGCTCCCTCGGGAGGCCGGGTACCAGGACTGAGTTCTCTCCTTTAAGCTTTTCAGCGTTTCCACATGTTCTTCAGGAGCACAGATTGTTTCTCATCCAGCAATACTGCTTGGAGGACCACAGCGCGAGCCCCACGGGGAGAGCCCGGGTTCACGGGACCACAGCGCCAGCCCCACGGGGAGAGCCCGGGTTCACGGGACCACAGCACCCAGCCCCAAGGGGAGAGCACGGGTTCACGGGACCACAGCACCCAGCCCCAAGGGGAGAGCCCGGGTTCACGGGACCACAGCGCCCAGCCCCAAGGGGAGAGCACGGGTTCACGGGACCACAGCGCCCAGCCCCAAAGGGAGAGCATGGGTTCACGGGACCACAGCGCCCAGCCCCAAGGGGAGAGCCCAGGTTCACGGGACCACAGCACGAGCCCCATGGGGAGAGCCCGGGTTCACGGGACCACAGCGCCCAGCCCCACGGGGAGAGCCCGGGTTCACGGGACCACAGCACCCAGCCCCATGGGGAGAGCCCGGGTTCACAGAGGGTCTCTGGGGAGGCTGCAGCTGGCCCTGGGGCACACGACGCTCCCTCCCTATACAGGCTTGGACCCATGGGCTCAGAAAGTCACCTGGCCTCCCTCCCACCCCCAGGCCCTGTCTTGCAGGTGTCTGCCAGCTCCTCCACCTGTAACACCTCCCCAGCCCTAACATGAGGCCAGACACGCAGCTGGGTCAGATGGAGGTGGGAAGGGGCACCCACCCCCTGGGCTGTGGCATCCCTGGAGAAGCTCACACCAGTGGCTCTGCAGGCCAAGGCGTTTGAGGCTCCTGTGTAGAACGTAAGAAGTTCCTAGGGCCGGGCACAGTGGCTCACGCCCGTAATCCCAGCACTTTGGGAGGCCGAGGCAGGTGTATCTCAAAGTCAGGAGTTTGAGACCAGCCTGGCCAACTGGCCAATATGGTGAAACCACAACTCAAAAAAATACAAAAAACTTAGCTAAGCATGTGGTGACCGGCGCCTGTCATCCCAGCCACTTGAGAGGCTAAGTCAGAGGCTGCAGTGAGCTGAGATCGCACCACTGCACTCCAGCCTGGGCGACAGAGTGAGACTCAGTCTCAAAAAAAAAAAAAAAAAAAGGAGGTAAAAAGCTTCCTCTTCTAAGTTTCCCTTTTTGTTAAACAATAATAATAAATGTTAGAAATGATAAGTTGTTTGGAAAATTCCTGCTTTTTGCTAGTAACTCTTTTTTTTTTGCATTTTAGGTTTTGGGGTACATGTGCAGAATATGCAAGATAGTTGCATAGGTACACACGTGGCAGTGTGATTTGCTGCCTTCCTCCCCTTCACCCACGTCTGGCATTTCTCCCCATGCTGTCCCTCCCGTAACTCTGCTAAACCTTAGCCTGTGTAGCTGTTAGATATAGAAGAGGTACATGGTACGTCCCTGTGCTTTCACCGGGATACCTGCGCTGGCCGTGCTCACAGGCGTGTCCCAGCTCGCGGCCTCTGCCCCTTCTTTCTTTGTCCTTCCTCTCTCCCCTTGTTCTCCATTGCCTTCACCTACTTGGAAAAGTTTTAAGTTGTCAGCCCATCGGGTTTTAGTTTAGATTGTGAGGTCTGACTCCAGCCAGGGGAGGTCAGACATAGCAGTAACGGCCCAATGCATAAGGAATAAATATGCCTGGCTTTCCTCTGTGTACTCTCGAGGCAAGATGGCTAACGAGACCACCCTTTCTGCAGAAAGTAAAATTGCCTTGCTGAGACAACTTTTCGTCTGAATGCTTATTTTTTCTTGCAACACCTGGGAACAAGCATTCTGTCTCTAACTGCCTGCAGAGGGCTGCAGGTGGCCCACCTGCTGATGGAGGCCACCCTGGAGGTGGCGGGTGTCATTCTTCTCAGAGACTCTGGGGTAACAGTGGCTGGCAGGCTGGCTGACCAAGTCATCCTCACCTCCCAGCACCCATGCTGAGGCAGGCACAGTCCATGCTGAGGTCCAGATGTCCCCAGGGGTGGTGCAGGAGCCCTTCTGGACCGGGTGGGAGGTTCTGGGGGACAGGCCAGCTATGGCCCAGCTGCACATCCCATTGGGCCTGTGGGCAGAGAAGCCACCTGCCTGGACACTTGAGTGTGGCATCATTCCCCAGCAGGTCAGATAAGCCCTGTCCACGCATGGGATGGGGGCGGGGGAAGACACGGTTTCTGAGCATTTCCAGCTGCCAAGCCCACACTCAAAGGTGCAGATGCCCAGCTCTGTGAGAGTGTGGCAGAGGCAAGGACCAAACCCGCAGCATTTCCACAGAGGCGCTCTCAGACCCTCATGAAGACAGCTGCGGGGAGGAGCAGGTGGCAAGGGGGAGACTAGGGCACCAAGGGCGGGCAGGGAACAGTCCACGCTGAGGAGGGGACAAGAGAGTAGACTCAGACAGCAGGGGGCAAAGGCCCTGACAGAGGGTGGCTGGGAGGGGAGCGAGGGGGTGGCCACAGTGGAGCCGAAAGGGGCAGCACTTCCTTCCACTCACCTCCTTCCCGGATCACCTCCTAAATGACCCCCCTTGCCGTCCTGTCTCAGGACTCCCAGTGAGGAAGCGGTGACTTCACATACACTGACACACGGCGGGAGGGGGCCTGGAGCCCAGCTCCTGCGTGGGCTCTCTGTGCTGCTGCCCCTGAGCCCGGACCAGCTTCTCTCCTGTGCCCCACTCAGAGCCATCCATGCCCACGGGGTCCCTTGGGGCACCCCCTGGGAGCCAAGTGCTTCATCTGCCCTGATGCCTGGGAGGGCCCATGCTGCTGCACCTGCTGCTACTGTCCACGCCCTCAGTCTCCCTGTCTGCCAACTTTGTCACCTCCAGCCCCAGAGCCAAGCAGGTCCCTTCCCCTCCTGCCCAGCTTGGGACATAAGCCTTTTCATCCTCTCTGGAAGTGCCTGGGATAATTCCCGCACCCCCACCACACACACACCAGTAGCTTCCCAAGACAGATCCTCTGAGGATCCCTGGGGCCCCAACTCCTCCCCATCTCCATCTGCTGCCCCCCACCCCGGAACCCTCGAAGTTCTCACCTCAGCCCCAGCTGTTTCTCCACCTCCCACCGCCCCTGGCTGTGTTCCTCCAGCTCCTGCTGGGGGGCCCCCATCCTTCATATTCTGGGGCTCCCTGAGAAGCCTCTGGGCTCCCACTGTTCTGGAATTGCTGGGTGCCCCAGGGGTGCAGGGTCCAATGTGAGTCAGGGCCCAGCACCCAGTGGAAGTTCAGCCCTGCGGGTGGAGGGGCGCTCCCACTCCCAGCATCAAACTGGGACACTCCCACCTCTGAGCACCTGGGCCCTCCTGGGGGCCTGATGGCCAGAGAGGGGGCCTGTCGGCCCTGCACCGCTCCTCCCACCGTCAGCCACCCTGAGTTCTGGACAGGAGTCCCCTGGCCTCAGTCCACCCAGCCCAGGAGGATCAAACAAGGTGACACCCGCCTGGGACGCTGCAGAGGTCCAGCCCGGTACCGTGGGGATTAGTGTCTGCCGGGAGCCATGGCAACTGGAGGGTGGCTGGACACCTCTGCAGGGACTGTCCTCGGACCCCTCTCCAGGGACCCCACCCCTGGCTGTGACCTGTACCACGAACCGTGAGACCCCTCTCCGGAGGCTGAGGCCAGCACCTCCTGGACGAGAAGCCCCTGCCCCTCCACCCGCAGGCGGAGGCTCGGTCACTGCGCTCACGCTCCCCTGTGATTATTCAGAAGCGACAGAGGCTGACTCCAGCTCACCTGGAACACCCCGGAGGCCTCTCATCTTAGTCTCTGGACTGGGCCGGGCCCCAGGGGTGGTGCCTGGCGGCCGAGGGGGCCCTCCCTCCACTCGTCCGAAGGGCCCTGCTGTCCCCGTCACCCTCTGAGCACCCGGCCTTTGCCCTGGCCTCCCCCGCCCCGTGCAC